GCAGGAAATGAAGGGAACAAAAATTGGTACAAGATTAATTGAGAGAGAAACAACGGCCATCGAAAAAAGCAGAAACATGAAACACAAATAAAAAGAACTTAAAATCTGATCTTCCTTCATAATTATCCAAATAGGGTATACAACAAAAAATCAAATGAACAAGATGAAGTCCCATAAGTTAACTTCAAACATCTAAATTTCAATTTTCATTGCTGGACTGGAAATGCTTCCTAAACCAAGTGATTATTGTTTCCGATGAAAATACCAGATCGAAAACAAAACCTCCACATAAATAAATTCGTAGATAGAACCATGAATATGATCCCACCCAATAATATAAAACCGATCCAAACTAGAAAGCAAACGCATAAAAAGTTTCGATCAAGTAACCGGCAGACCAATCGAAGTTCTAACTTCTTCGTGAATCAACAGAAGACAGAAAACGAAACCCAATAAACTCCAACTGAAATTCTCCGCACACAACGACGAAGACCCAATTGAAATCAGATGGGCAGGCAAAAAGATACCAGACATAAAAACACATGACCATGTGTATTAACCTGAGCAGAGCAGATCTGGAGGTCAATATTGGCGAGGCGTTTGAGATGCTCCTTCAGAAGCCTCTTGGAGTCATACTCTCTAATCTTCTTCCTGGCCATTCCCCGCTTCCTTCTTCTCTTCTTCGGATTGAAAGAATGTCGAGAATTCAACGAACGGGGGGAAAACAGATGGAAGAATGAAGATTAAAAAGAGAGAATGAAGAAGAGTAGTGATTGTGAACAAGCCTTGAGGCGGAGAATCTTAACACTTGGTTAGGTGAGCAGGTGACTGAATTAAGAATAGGAGAAAGATAAAGTTTAGAGAAAATTTTACAGATTGCGCGCTACATTCACGATCAATAAAACGACGTCGGAGCTATTTTTTTAACGGTCATCGGATCGGAACATCTTAATACCCTTCAATAATAGACTATTGTATACATTTTTAATCGTGCATTTAATAATTACAAATAAATGTATATAAACTTATAATTCAACATATCATACTTTATTAAAGTGAGCATAACTTAATAGTAATTGACATATACCTTCAATCAAAATATTGCGAGTTCTATCTCAACCAATTCAACTATATTCAAGTTGACATATTAATTTTATTTGAATTGGCGTGATATGATAAATGTTTTCACTTATTAAATATCAATTGTGATTTCTTTTAGTTCAATTATTATGGGTGGATGGTTGAACACTTTAAACTTTTAGGGATAAGAGACTCGCTTGCTTTCCATAAAATCTTGGTAAATTGAGTCAACTTCCAGAAACCTTTACATTTGCCACTGGTTCTACTTCATGAGTATTCATTAGAATCTCTAAGATAATAGGAAGTAGCCAAAGCGGACATAATTTACCGATAACTAGCATATGTCTCCAACCAAAAAATTGTGAATTCGATCATCCACCTTACATGTTGTTCTCGAAAATAATTTATATATATAATATAATATAAAGAGATTCCATGATTATTAAGTTCTAATTGATCCACCTCCTTCTACGTGTCAAGGTAGCGTACTAGTACATTTTCATTGACCATGTCTAGAGCTATAGATGTTCAACTTCGTTAGATGGTCTAAACAAATTTATAATGATGTATAATCATATTTTGATAATTATGTTGCATATAGTTAAGTGAAAGAGAGAAATAGGACAAAAAGAGAAGTCCACCCATAATATATATATATATATATATATATATATATATATAATTTGTCAAATTAATCAGTGAGGTACGATCAACGACATGCCGTGATTCAAGTAATATGAATAAATCCAACACTTTTAAATACGAATGACCAGATTAAGGATTACCAAAAGATTGAAACTAGTATACATGTTTACTCTAAATTACAATTAATATAATTGAAACTAATTTTAGAAAAAAAATATATACTCTCCCAACAAGTCGTAATAATATAATATTATTTTTTATTTTTATTTTTATATTCGTGAGTATCGCACCTCGACTAATTTCAAAGTTTCTACCCTATCAGATTTGGTGATTAACAAAACTACTATAATTTAGGTGTGTTTGAATTGGTTTTGGCCGGAATAAAATCACTTTTACTATTGTCAAAATCACTTATTTTCTATTGATTTTCAAATCAATATATCACTTGGAAGGTAATTTTGATAAATCAATTATACCTAAATAATATTTTTTCAAAATCAATCATTTTATCATCACTTAAAAAAAATAAAAAAAATTCCGCTACCTTCGACTTAAATCATATATATTATAACTGTAGCTAACTAATTACGTTATACATGTCTTTGACGCTGTGGCGTGCCCTTCCCTGCCACTCCTGAACAGTCCGAGATCGACCCCTTAAAAATCAGCCCATCCAGAATTTTACATTTTATTTATTGATTCTGATTTGCTTCTTTTTTCTTTTTTCTCTATATATTTATCGATTCCGACCTTCTTTTTTCCTTCTAATTTGAAATGTTTTTTAAAAGGAAGAAAATCATAAAAAATCATATTTGAAAATCTTTATCCAAATATGACATCTTTTTTTAAAAGGAAGATATGTATCTATAGATATTCAACTATAATTTTATAAATGTGATTTTATTTTTAAATACGTTTAAATAGTGCATCTATTTTGAATTTTGTGTTTTTAATTTAATAAACATTTATCATCTTTCTAAATATAACTATTGATGATAATTTAAAGGTTCATTTTTCAATTTATATTTATTGTACCAATATCTCTTATTTTATTCACTATGAATCTCGAGTTTTCTTATTTTATATGATTTTTTATTCATGTTTTGCATAATTTAGAAGTCACGGGACCCTTTAAAATCTGTTTTTTTAAATACTTTTTTTATTTTATACTATATAAAATATTTATTTATTTTGTGTTCAAAGTGAATAATAAAGACTTCTATATCTCGTAGATTTAGATAGTAACAAAAACATTTACATCTATCTATAAAATATCTATCAGTATTAAAAATAATGAAATTTTAAAATACAATCCACTTTTTAAATCTTAATTATCTTTTTTTCTAAACTCGTAGATTTCTTTTAATAATACTTCTATTAAAAAAGAATTTGCTAAATCATGAGTTACTCCATAAACCAATTAATAACATGATTGAGTATTACCAAAGCGAGCATAGCTCAGCGGTAATCGACATATAGCGTCCGACATAAAGTTATAGATCTGCCACTGTTTGATCATATATTTTTTTCATTGTACCGAACAAATTTGAAAATAGAGCTATTCCATTTGCTACCCGTGGAAATATAAATCATCTACTATCTAGACTTTCTCGAGATAATTTGTACTGGGTAGCTAAATATTTATCATATTTATAAATATAACAACAATTTTTGGATTTTGTTATGTATGAGTTGAATCTCTGAATTTTATCATTTTGCAAAATTTAGGAGTGGTGGCTACTTTTGCAAATTTGTTTATTATTTAAATCTACAACAAATAGATTGAAGATTTGAACGATTTTATTTTTATTTATTTTTGGTCGATGTCTTTAACCAATTTAACTATACTTATCAATCTCCTAATTCAACTAAATATTTAAGTTTAATTTGGTTTAATCACGTCCTAATAAAAAGAAAATTCGTATAATCAAGTACTAAAAAAGAAATCGTTGAATAAAAATTATTTGTTGACAAATTTTCCTCAACTTATTTGAGAAAGGAAAACTAACAGATGAATTTGACAGCAAAAGTGAAACAAAATTCCTAGTTGAACAAAGCTTTCGGTTTTGTGAATGAATTGGAAGGGAGAGAGGTGTAGGCTACCTTGGCTTCGTTAAACTTGAAGAAAAAAAAAAAAAAATTTCACTGATCTCTCTCTCGCTCGCTCTCTCTCTCTCTCCCCCTCTGTTGTCTCTTGCAGGATTTCGTTCCTTCGCTCTTTGGATCAGCCGAGCTCTTAGATCTCACTGTTCGTTGCTGCTTGCAGACCCTCGTAGACAAGGTACCTCTTCTTCCCTTTTGCCCCCTCCGATTTTCGATTCGCCAATTGAATTGGTCGCCGGGAATGTTCCATTGCAAAGCCCTGTTGCTTGCTGTGGATTGATGAGGAAACACTTGCTTCGGACTCGCGCTCCTACGATTGTTTATTTCAGTTCGTTGCTTGGGAATCTGGGATAGATCTCTTTTCCTTTCACCGCAAGCTTCGATTTCATACTCCAATTTGACTTTCCCGGAATCCACAATTGGGTGTTTTTTTTTTATTCATTCTTCCAAATCTAA